AGAAAGTACACCTGGACTATAGAACTATAGAAAGTACACCTGGATTATAGAAAGTACACCTGGATTATAGAAAGTACACCTGGACTATAGAACTATAGAAAGTACACCTGGATTATAGAAAGTATACCTGGATTATAGAAAGTGCACCTGCACCTGTCATTATGTGTCTGCTCCTACTTCCTGTCCTCTTTGTTTCTACTTCCTGTCCTCTCAGACCCAGCCAGTTGAAGCTCGTCCTGCACTGGTTCTGCTGGAGGGTTCTTCCTGTTAAAGGGAGTTTTTTCTTCCCACTGTCTCCTCTGTGTTCAGGATGAGAGACTGTGATGAAGAGAAGATTCAACACGACCTGCTGCCTCCTCAGATACAGAACTTTGTCTCTGTTCCCGACACGAGTCTGTTGGAGCTTCAGAAATAAACTGAAAAAGACTAAAGTTTGGACAGAGACACCAGAAGAGGACAGATTTTCAGAATAAGAGGAGTTTGTAAAAAAGTTTGAGCAGCTGACGGTCTGGATGACGTCATCTGGTTCAGCAGCGATCGTGTAAAAACTGTTAAAGTTCTGAGAACTGAGTTAACCCGTTTGGACTCTGATGGTTCTGTGAAGGACTGAGCCCGGGTCTGAACCACGGGTCAGAGTTCTGGTTTCCTCTTCTCTCAGTCAGACAGAACCAGAACCATGCTGCTGCCATGACCTTTGACCTCTCAGAAAGTCACCAAACCGTTCTTTTTGAAGAAACTTTCAGAATAAAAGCCTTTTTCTCCTCCGTAATGACGAACCGTTCAGTGGCAGAACCTGTGCGTGTGCGTGTGCGCGCGCTCCCTCCCTGTGCCTTTTCCACCTGACGGGGACGCGCTTGTGTCAGTAAAATAACAATCACTGGTTCAGGTTCGTGACTCGGTTCGGGTTTTCCTCCGCCGCCCCGCCCACCACGGGGAGGGAGGGGTCAGCAGCTGTGCGGCCCCGCCCCCTCCCTCCATCAGCAGCACCTGAGTCTGGAGACCCAGCAGAACCTTCAGTCTGTTCACCGCGGTTCTGTCCGGTTCGGTTCGGTCCGGTCCGCCCCGCCATTCACTCCCTCAGCGGGATTAGAGCATGACTGCAGCGGACCGGAACCGGGTTCGGGTCCGGACACGGAGCGCGAGATTCTCCTGAGACCAAGTGGACTTGTTGCAGACAAAGTCTGACCGTCGGTTCGGAACCAGAACCCGCAGGAGGAACGAACTCAGAGAAGAGAAGCTTGGAAAGTTTTTATTTTTCCTGTGGAGGTGAGTCTTTCACAAACAAACAAACAAACAACAAACAAACAAACAATGCTTGGTTCGGTTCTGGACGGATTCTGAGGAGTTCACCTTCAGCATCAGATCCTGAATGGACCAGAGGAGTCCGGACCACCTGGACCAGACCGCGAGATTCAGGACTGTCCTCTCTCAGCCTGATCCTCCTGACCTGCACCTCCTCCTGACGTGCACCTCCTGCTGACCTGAACCTCCTCCTGATTTGAACCCTCTCCTGACCTGCACCTCCTCCTGATTTGAACCCTCTCCTGACCTGCACCTCCTCCTGACCTGCACCTCCTCCTGATTTGAACCCTCTTCTGACCTGCACCTCCTCCTGCTGACCTGAAACTCCTCCTGACCTGAACTCTCTCCTGATCTGAACCTCCTACTGACCTGCACCTCCTCCTGACCTGCACCTCCTGCTGACCTGAAACTCTTCCTGA